CAAACTTTAACAAACCTCCATCTATTCATCGTTCTATCCATCTAAACTTTCGCATTTATAATATTAGTTAGATTAGATTTAGTAGTTACTTAACATCGTCTTCATTATTATTATACGCATATTTTAATGAAAATATCTAATCACAGATTAAAATACAAACAATTTCAGTGGCATTGTTATTTTCAATGATACGAACTCTTCAAAACACTTCAACACTAACAACACAAGTAAAAACAAAACAAAAACTGTAAACTCCTCTGTGTAGTTAATGAGGCATTTGTGAATACGAAACACAAGCTGCTGCACAGAACGCAGCGGCGGAACAAAATAATGACGTAATGGTAGTCGCTCACAAGAGTCATCGATGCCGTGTATAGATATACCACGCGGTGCCGAGTGCCGGCCCTGACCCGGGCGAGGTCATACGACCCGCCCTACCTGAAAATCCAGGGTTAAATTAACAATGGCCGCAGCCTATTTCAACCACAGCGCTCAAAGATGCCGCGAGATATGCAAACTCGATTACCTGCTGTTGAATTAACAAAGGCGTCGAAGATGAAATTGATAAGTAGCGTTCTTTTTGACTGACAAAATGTTTTATAACAGGAAATGTTTTATATTATTCGTCATTTTCTACAGAACCTTCATCATTACACATTTTATTTTAAGTAATATGCTGTTTTTGAATTAATTTAAGTGGAAAATGTTTCAAAAAGAATAAGCTAAATATAACTCTAGGGCGAGATAAATTGAATTTAATATAAAAAGATTCACTTTCATTAAATGTGAAATATTTTTCGATGAAAAGCATTTTTACTAAGCTGACATTTAAAGTACGTTTCATTCGCTCTTTTAAATTAATAAGAGAATAAAATAGCAAAAACTGTAATTGAGTGAGAGCTTAACCATCAGTTTTATTTCAAAAATATAATTTTCAAGGTTAAATCTTTCAACAGCACTTTCATAAAATGAATTCATTTTTAATACGTCGATATAAAAATAGAAATTACATAACATTTGAAGCACACGCCTTCTAACTGTTACATAATATAAAGTCAGCTGCTTCTTGCGTTAGGAACAATTATCCTTTTAAAATAATGAAATCAGATACTTTTATTAGTGTTTTTACATCATGATATTGCGGGGATAAACCATGACTAAGGATACTGGGAATAAAATGTTCCAATGATTAAATTTAAAGGAAAACGCATTTATTGCTGATTTACCTTCTTATAACAATAAAGATATTGAAAAGCATCGATTTTACATATCTATACTATTATAATAAAGCGTTAACACACTTTGTTGCCTAAGATGTCAGCAATTACAGCATATTTTTGAATAATTCTTTTTTAATAAAAAGCCCAACACTTTCGTCACGCTTTAGACTGTATATTTTAACGCCATTAAACTTAGGTTGTAAATATTTTGGATAAAAACACTAATGTGGGAAAGAGACCATAGGTTACTGCCAACATAAAGGAAGTAAGATTGCTAAGGTTTGTCATGTCATGTCATTTTGACATTTGCTATTGATGATTTGGCAAATGTAAACAATAAAAAAAATATTCATAATTTCATGCGGATGAAGACGCACGGGAACAGCTAGTTACATATATGTATATTGTAATAGACTAAGCGCCAATAGCCCAATGGTTTGAGGTACGGACTACCGATCGTGAGGTCGAGAATTCGAATCCCGCCATTCGACTATCGTCGTGAACCATATCCTGCCACAAGCTTAGAGCTTAGTTGGCATGGTTAGAAATATTAGTAAATTAACAAGAATCTACGTATATTTTTACAATAAAAAAAATAAAAAAGACTTTACACATGTTTTAAATCTAATTTACTCTGGTTTGGATTAATTACTAATGTTAACGTTTCAAATCTGACAAACATACAAACAATTGCAATAGAACTCACACAAAATTATACATCTTATAGAGCACGAAAAACATTACACAACCATCTATAAACAGAAATAATTATACATAAGTTTCTTTCATATGAAAATGATATTTAAAACGGCGTTATTCACACATCGCATATTCCTGTTAATATCTTTAATGGAGCTCCGAACGGAGTACTCTCGAACATTAATTTCAAATGTTAGCTTACGATTCAGTTATCCGTACATATTGACTGAGGGACGAAGGTTACGTACAATTTCAATTTAAACCTTGTTACATTTACATTGAGGTAGAATGACAAATCCAACTTCTACACTTCTGCTAGGTTTCTGAAGTCCCATTTATTTTATCATTATCTAGTGATTCATTAGTGTTAGGTTGACCTATGTTTTTTTACGGAGTAAAACTCAAGTTAGGTAGTTCAAAAACGCATTTCGTGAAGTTATCGAACCAAAAACTATGGAATGGTTAAACATAGCTGGGAAACCGGCCATCAGATCGTTACGACATTTTTAGCGATCTTTACTTATTTAAAGAGGAAAGGTTCGTATTTTTGTATGTATTTAAATAACACAAAACTAATTGGCTGATTTCAAAAATTCTTTGACGTTATCACTGGGTAATATAGCTATGTTATTTAAAAAAATCCGCTAGGACGACAATGAGAGCAACACCTATTTAATAATGTAATAAGAAAACAATGAAAAGTTAAAGATATCTGTAAAATTTTAATATCTCAATATATTACAATTACCACGTCAACTGGAAGGCTGGCTTTCCTCAACAATGCGACTCTTGTGGATTTTCCTGCACCTCCCAGCACAGCCGCGATGCGGAACACTCAGTCATCGGCGGTATTTCCAAACCACAACGATTTATGATTCTTTCTCAAAGATCGGCAATGCATCTGCTGTTCCTCTGATTGGATGTCCATGGATCGTTAGGCATTCCCGTGTTCCCGTTGCTCGTTTACACTAACTACTAACAAACGTTAATACCTATAAGTATTCTTTGTACATTTACAAGAAATACATTAAATGTAATTCATCCTTTTAATGTTTGTCATCTACCCTCTTAAGAAACGGGTATCGGGACGACAGGCTTTTGTTATGAAAGAACCTTTCATACAAATTTTGCCTTGAACGAGTACTGAAATCAAATATAATAGCTTTTTCTGATTTATTACTCCTTCCTCTTTTGAGAGAATTATCAACACTTTCACTGTCTATACGTAACAAATTTAACTCAAATAATATTGCTATGGTCGAATCAAAAGTTGAAATTTTAATGGAATTTGTAGTTAACACATGACCATTTAAAACTCTGTTACACATTTAAATGCTGTCTTAGTATTCTTAAGTACTGTATTCTGATTCAATACACATACTACATAGTAAACTAGTTGGTCCTCGTGACTTCGTGAACGTGGAATTAAAAACAAAAAAAATTGTTGATGTTATTCAACGATAATGTAGCTTTTTAAACGTGAAAGAATTTTTGAATTCGGCGATATAGTTTTTGAGTTATATCAATATATAAAATATCCAAATATACAAAACTTTTCTCTTTATAATACTATTATAGACTAGTGTCGATGTTATTTACTTATTAATATCAGAATATTAAAATATCTTACGAGTATTTCATACTTAAATTTCCCTAAATTAATACATTTAGAGTAATCGCTCGTATTAATCTGTAGATATTAATGGTTTAACATGATTACCTCCTATATCAATCTGACAAAAGGATACTATCATTATAGATAGCTCTTATTTCAATAATTTAATCGACTAGCTTTCGCCCGCGACTCCGTCCGGGTGGAATTAAAAAGAAAACAAAAGTAAGTAGCCTATATGTTCTTCCAGGCTCTACAATTATGCCAAATTTCATCGAGACGGGTTCAGCCAGTTAGGCTACAAACTCTAACATCCATCCATCTCATCATCATCATCGCAGAAGTCAAGTAAATATTGATGAAAAGGCAAAAGCTTATGTTACAAAAATTAAATCAGTGACAATCAATTCATTAACCGGTATCAGTAATAAGGAAAATACGTTGTAAAAATAATTGTGACGTCACTTTTCTAAAGCAAATCAACATCTTAGAAGCTGAATCATATCCATTTAGACGCTTGTGCAAGATCCGGTGAACCGCGAGCCCGGATGCGGTTACGTGTTTAAAATCCGACAATTTATATTTACTAACGTCTTTAAATGATACTAAAATATCACCGACGAAGAACGAAAGTCAACACTTTGATTGGCAATTGAGTATAGAAAAACAAACAGCTTTTATTAGTTAGCAGTGAGCAGTAACAACTGACAATTCTTAAGATAGAGTTTCTATTATAAGGTAAATTTTAGACAAAAACAATTCCAGTGACTAAGTAATTTTTTATAATAGTCTAAACTCATCATGTAAAATCATTTGTAAGATAGTTATAAGCCATTGAAAATAGAAATATAGAATAAAAATAATGTATTCGCGCTATTTTAAATCACAGAGAAACTAGTAGTAAAATATATCTGTTCTGGGAATACAGAGGCAGAGCGTGGGCGGGACAATTTCCGGGAAAATCAATATACCGTATCCGCCTCTTGTATTAAATGTAGGAATACAATTTATTGCATCTGATCCCTAAGGCGTAATGAAAATAAGACACACGTGATAAGTATGTCCGATGAACCGTCTTGCCTCACATTTAATGTTATTGACTAGGCATTTAACTTTGTAATTTTTATATGTTAAAAGTTGGCAAACGAGCAAGCAGCCACCTGAATCCGCCGAAATGGCGAAGCGACCGCTGTCCATGAACGTCCACAATTGCAGATGCATTGCCTTCCCTTAATCGATGGAGGAGTCGCACATAACGAGAATATTTCCCCTTCCCATGCGTCTCGACATTTTCCTTCCCATCGTTTCCTCTTAAGAAAAGCCTAAGGAAAAAGGGACATAAATTAGGCATTTTTTTTATGAATAGGAAGTATGAAATAATTTTACGTATTCTTAGAGGTCGCGGTACTTCCCCAGTCGATGCGACCGATTAATCACAGTTAAATTTACGATACTTTTGTGTACGTCAGATGCGAGGATGGTGGAGGCGGCGCAGCGACAGGCACGGGAGGGCGCG